GGATAGGGGAGGGGGTGGGTTAGATCGGTGAAAAGAAAAAAAAAAAACAATCGGTCCAGAGAAGTTGCTAGTTACAAGCGCTGCTGGGGAAGTGCGGTACTCATGTAGCAGAGTGAAAGCAGCCGGACAGACTGGCCCTTCCCTCCAATGTGCCTTTGTTTATGTGGGCTCCGTATTCCACAGCCAACATGCACCTAGTCTCCAAGCGTCAGCACACGTCAGTGCAGGCGGCCCAATCCCAGCTCCTTAGGGCTGTTTCTCCCCATACAGTTGGCCAGCTCTCGCTTTGGTAAATTTCCGACCTGACGTCACAAGCAGGGCAGATTTTAAGGTGGGAACCGTTCTGGGTTCACCTTGTTAGACGAGTTGGGCTTTTTTTCTTTTCATTTCTTCCTTTTCTTTTTTTTTTCTTTCCGAAAAAGGTGAAACCTACTCACCCTTGCCCCTAAAGCAAGTAAAGCTCACTTTACCCTACCTTCTCCAAAACTCCCAATTCACAGATAGTTTTGGCAGCCCAGAAGTGTAAGAGTACCAACAAAAGCGAAGATGGGATATGGGGGTGGGCGAGATTAAGAAAGGGAGTGAAAGGATGACTGAGAAGGGTTGCATGTGCCAGGTAACCCGCACCTGTAGGCGCACAAAATTGGGCAATACGTACTTTCATTGCTCTAACTCCCCCCTCTCCTCACCCTACCCCCGCCCGCTCTACACCCCTGCTCTCATCCCCAGGTGCTGAACCATGCATTGTAGCCTATTGCACGGGACTGCTAAATCGGGGTTTCCCTTTCTCAGTGCTTCCCTTCCCCCTCCCATATTTTCCACTCTTGCAGAAAAAAAAGCCGTTACATTTTGTTTGATGCCCTCTTCCCTCATACCCACGTGTAGGAGGGAGGACGTGGTGACTGTGGTATGGAAGAGGGGGTTGGGATAAAGGAGACAAGATGGTACTGGACCAAATCTCCTCTTATCAAATTAGAATCTCTTTAAGAAATATCGCTCCCCCTCTCCTGACAATGCAGCAGAGTTTCATGCAACAGGTGTGCATTACCCAGAGAAAGGTGATTTTATTTCCATCTTGAGTTAATTCTTTTCAACTTCAAAGCTGCGCTCTCCCCAAGTATTCTTTAACTACATTTCTCTAGATACATAGAACCCCAAGTAAACCCTGCATTGCTCCTGAACTTCCCCCCAAAAAAATCGAGTTAACACACAATTTTCCTCAGAACCCCTTGGTGTAATCAACATGAGTCTCGAGAGTATTCATGTCAGTGTGTGTTGGGCTCGGCGCGTTACTGCTCCTAGAGCAACCCCAGAAAGCTGTCACAGCCTGAGCTCTGCTTTGCATGCTAATCTGTTGGACTGGTGCTGATGATAGAGACAGCACCTTGCACCAGTGAGGGGGGGAGGACACAGAATGCTTTCTAGTAAAGGAAATGCTGGAGTTTTCAAGAGAAGAGAAAAACAGCGGTTCGGGTCCCAAAGCCCACGGAGGTCTACGTGTTGAAGAAGTCTGTTTGTCCCAAACTAGAATGGGATCCCTAGCCCAAACCATTTCGCGCGGGCTCTGAATGAGCTGCGAATAAAATTTGGGAGTATCTGTATAATCTGTATCCACTTCTGAACGACTGCTTTCAACTCTCATTCCTTTTGTCCAGCAGCAAGGTTTCGGGCTTGCTACCGTAATCCATTTGTACCCTCCCCATTCCTACGTGTTATTTGTATTTTCATTATTAGAAAAAGGCACAGTCAGGATTAACCCAGTATCGCTTTCCTTCAGCCCTAAACTGCACCCCAGCCTTCACCTTTTCACCCTACCCTCCCCGCCCTCTCCGAGGCTGTGAGCTTCCGTCCCAAGCCTGCGCGCAGTCTGGGAAAGCCGCTGGTGCTGCTACCCCGCCGCCCAGGGGAAACCTACGTGACCACCTTAAGTTTCCCCAGATGCGGTAGCGGCGGCTTGTTGCTGCTGCTGCCGCCGCTGCCGCCGCCGCCGCTGCAGCGCCGTGGTGCCTTAGCAGGCGCGAGAAAAAAAATAAGGCGGGGAGGAGTGAGGGGGAGTGAGGGGGAGCAGTGGCGGCTGTAGGGAAGGGGAGGGGAAGGAGGAGGGGGAGAGGGGTAGGTCGGGGAAGAATAGCTCATTAGCATGAGCTCAGTAGCGTCAGCCACCCTGTGGGCTGGAGAGATTCAATTCGAACGAAAGGGAAAAAGTGAGAGTTTGGAAGGGAGGGGGGAGGGGGTGGCCGTGACGCAGAGGCGCAGTCATTGACGCACCGAGCCGGGCGCGGCCAAAAATAGCAGCCACAGCCGAGCCAGCGGCGTGCTCCCCAGCTCCCTTTCCCCTGGTGCAAGGGGGCAGGGCAGGGTGAGGAGGGGAACTCTCATTGATCCCGGCTGTGGGCAGGGCTAGCACCAGCTATTTTAAGGCCATCGGAAACTAGCGCGGCCACGTTGGAGACTTGGTGGCAAACTATTATTTTTTTTAATCCAGCCCCAGGAAAGCGGGGACTCGGAGTCTTTTAAGGTTGCAGACACACACCACACCACTCAGACACGCACATCCAAACGGATAGCTTAGTTTTCTCCATTAACATCACAAAATACCCTCCAGGATGTTTAAGAACCTTAACCAAAGCCTCCTCTACTCTCAAGTTAGTGAAAGTCTTCGGTTAGGGAAGTGAATTTCATAGTAAGAGTTTGAAAGTTGCATGGAGTCCCTTATGTCACGGTCCAAGAAAGTTAAACATAACAGTAGTATCCAAAATTATTAAACTTCATTTTGTGGTTTCTGACTTCTTGATGACAGCCTTTGACCGAGTTAAGCAAATTTTCACAGTATCCTTTACGATGATGATGATTTTTAAAAGGAAGTAGGGAGCAATTTTTCTTCTACTCTTAACTGAGTTTTAGTTACTGCTTCAAATCTCTGGATTTTCCTGTAGGTCGAGGTATTCATTAAAAGCACAATTTAAGAAAGCTGAAGTAAAGTTAACAAACGTTTATTAAATAAACTCATTATTAGTCAGGCTGGTTGGCCTCTACTTGATGGGGCTCTATAGTGGTCACAAAGGAAATATTCTACCATAGATTCATTCAGACTGCAATCGGACCTGGAGCTGGAACTGGAGCTGAAACCCAATAAACTTAAATTTTTTCCTCAGCACAGATAATTTGAGTATTGAATTGATAAGAGAAAGTCCAATCAGTACCGACAATCTCTGTAATTGACTGATCCTGTCAGTAGGGGGCCTGAAGCCACAAACTTTTTTTTTTAAAGCATTAAAAGCTACATAAAATTCAAGGGTTTCATACCAGGCCCAAACACATAACTTCTGCGCTGCTCAAAAACTGAAATTCATAAACACCTACACATATTAGTGTCCTCTATTTTTATAGAGGGAGCAGCTTCTGATACACATTGAATTGGATTTACAATGCATTTCCCCATCATGCTCATGTTTAGTTCACCGTGTATTTGGTAAATGCTAGCTAGTAATAAACTCATTTTATCACCAAGCAGTTCAAATTGGCATATAGTTTGGAAAAATGAAAGCATGTTTTAAAATCCTATGATTACATGTTTAAATAAATTACAGTTCAGATGAGGATTCCTGTGGGTGTATTTGCTGGTATATAAGAATGCTTTTGTGTGCAGAGGTTTAATTACACATTTATAATGGAGTCAAAATGCAGGACTGAACAACCTTTTAGAAAACGTTAAAACTATGCTTTAGGCTAAATGGAACTGAACTTCTGCATTTAAATGACTGCAGCCCTTCAAGACTGTTGAACATAAACATCACAAAGTATTCTGACTCACTCAATTAAAAATGACAATTTTGAGACTGAGTCCAGCATCAGACTTACCTTTAAACTGACACATGAAAATGAGAAATTCATCAAATAATTTTCAACATGTTTAAATATTGCTAAGTCAAAGAATTTCGTAGTAAAATAAATGAATGAAAATGGATTGTCTGTATATTTAAGTCAACTAAAGACTTCTTTTGAGATTAACTGGAAAAGCATTACAAAATTATTACCTTTTCAAGAATACTTTTCAGAAAAAAAAATACAGAAAAGTGACTTTCCTGGATTATCCTCTATATTCCTGACCATATGTTAAAAGAGGACATATGGCATGTAAATAAAAACTATAAAATTTTATTTTAAAAAGGAAAGAATTGCTATAGATCACATATACACTTACAGATAAAATATTGTTTTATTTTATGCAAGCTTAAACACTGAGTTTAATAAAATACACCTTTCTTTAATACAGAAAGCAAACCTGAATTAAATCCTAAAAATTTTTCTTTTTCAATGCAAGCTGATGGAGTCTTTAGGTATTTCTATATGATCCCCAAATACAATATAGGAACTACTACACAAAACACTTTAAAGAACAGGAGTGGGGGCAGAGAGTTATTGAAAAATACAACTGTTGTGTCCCAAGAATAAATAAACTTTAAAGCATCTTCCCTAGTTGTCAATTTCAAATATGGTATGTTCTTTAAGTGGATATTGACAGCTAGGTACCAATGGAAACAGTTGGTCAGAAGTGAGCTTTATATTTGGAGTAAAGCAAAATGAACTTTCAAACTCTGAACAGGTTTGGTGGGGGTGGGGAGGGAGGTACTGCATTTCCCTTTTAAGATTGCTTTTCTGCCATTATTTTGTTGCTCTCCTATACAAATCAACTGCTTGGTTTATTTTTATTCATATTTTTAAAAGTCTAACACACTTTTCAGCCCATTTCTACCTAGAAATTATCCTTTAAAATAAAACAAATCTTTCTTATTTTGATTTGCAACACAGACAGATATATGTAAAGAAAGAGAGGCTGTGATGGAGAAAACATTTTTCTTCTAGATGTACCCATTTTAAAAACTATAAATGTAAAACTGAAAATATGATGAAAAAAATTTAATATTTTTAAATTGTTTGCTAAAAATTTACATCTTTTGAGTCATACACACACACACACACACACACATAAGAGCAAGCAGAGACAAAGTAAAATTTAATTGAACAGTTTAACACTTTCAAATTTAGAAAATCTTTTAACCCAAAGAATAGTGACCTTGGTTTCAGGTTTTTTTGTTAATATTCAGTAAACAATTGTCTCATTAAAACAGGGACTTTTTTAAAAAGTTATATAATGCTCTTGCAAATGAGCCACTATATGCCAAAATTACTTCAGGGTGACTTGGAATTCTGGAAGTAACTAATGATGTTTACAATTCTGTTGTACTATACAGCATTCCTCCAGAAAGGTGAAATAAACACAATCACTTTCTAAAGTCTCCTTCTACGACCTGTTTAGGAGGAAAATTCCTCAATTTAACATAAAAATGTGACAAAGTACTGTTACGAAGACAAAGTCATATATAGATATAGATATCTCTGACAAGGGTATATATCTCTATAGGTATATAGAGATATATACTTCCCTTCATCATAATTCTGTGATTAAGAAGCCTATAATTTTCACGCTACAAAAGTAACTTATAGCAAAGACCCTTATAGTGATAAGTAATAAATCTAATTACCATATCCTTTGAATAGATGCAATATAAATTTCATTGCTCACTTAAAAGTTCTAAAGTTAACAGCATAAATTTGAAGTTGAGTAATTAAGTAATCCTTATATAGACACTTATTAAAGTATTTATACATATTATCTTAAATCTACATCTATCATTTTGCCAATTAAAATTAGGACTTTAATTGCAATTAAGTAATTTAATTGCCAATTGAACAGCAAAATTGCTAAGTGACTAATTTTAATGCCTATTTTAATTACCAATCATGACTGGGGAGGGAGCTAATCAAGTTACATCAAGCAGTACCAGAGTAATGATGTGGAAAAAAAAATGTAGAACAAACATTCAAGGCTACATGCTTTTAAAAAGAATTCTAAATTAAATAAATGCAAACACAATCTTATAAAGGTAGTGAAATACTATATTTCAATTTCTAAATACAGGAACACCAAAAGAAAGTACATGTTTAATTAAACAAGTCACTGTCAATCTTAAGTTAAAGTATATAAAAGCAAGGTAGAATTTTTATGTGATTTTTTATATGGTAATCATGCTAACAAGATAAACAGAAAATTGCAAATAGCAGAGCAGCTTACTGCTTGACAGGTGAAATATTTGTAGATTAACAGTGGTTCTTATTCTTTACAAATAAAATCAGATGCTGTAAAAATGAGGAATAAGTTTTTCAGCTATTCACACAATGATAGGCTAGCTCAAGCTCAGAAAAGAAGAAAAAAGGAAGATTAGTGTAACTATCATTCTACTACCCTCATGGACATCCTTTCCAACCCCATGAAAATTAAAATAGTTTCAACAGAGGCCTTCTGTCTATGTCAATAGCATGCCACTTATTAGATCACAAGCATGAATCAGGTTTATGCTACAGACAATATGTGTAGGTATACAGATAAGATATACTATATATGAGATAGATAGATAGATAGATAGATAGATAGATAGATAGATAGATAGATAGATAGATAGATAGATAGATAGATAGATACAGACATACATACATACTAGGGTGGGACAAAAGAGGCAAGCAGCTGTGCCTGCATTGCAATTAAAATAATGAATTACAGGATGAGAAATCCAAATTGTGCTACAATTCTTTCAGATCTTCCTGCCTTCCAGACGAAGTAAACCTTCCAGATCTTTATTAAAAAAAATTTAATTTTTTTTTTACCGCCTGCAAGACAGCAGAAAAGGACAATCTACAAATATAGATAATACACTTACTGACTATCATAAATCAATGTTCAAAAAAGCCCCAGTATCCAAACTGATTTTCAGAAACCAGTATGGGAGGAGTTTCGCTCCAGGAAGGATGTGGAATAAAAGCTACTACAGATAGAATGTGATTTCCTCCCAGATGACATGACAGAGAATAATTTCAGTTCTTTTCCTCTACTGGGGGCAGACGAATACTTTATTTAAAACAAATAGGAATTATGATCTTTATTTTAAAAAAAACAAAAACAAGGAATTTGCTGCCTAATTGTGATTAGCACTGAGTATTGTATGTATGTGTATTATGTGTCACACACATACATAGTCAGCTTATCTCTGTAGAAAGCTTTACACCTTCTACCAAAGACCTGAAATTATTCATGAAATTTATGCAATGTTGTATGTAACTAGAGAAAAAGCAAACAGGTTTGCAGCTGGGTTTGGATTGTTATTTACAGATAGACCTGAATTTTGAAGTGAAGCACACAGCAGGAAGGATTCTCTCCCTGCATTTTGAATGGAATTGTACATTAATAAAAAAACAGGGCTTAACAAAGACTTTCAATATATTTTTATAACAGTTTTAGAAGTTTTATGTAATTGATTAAAGCAAAATAATTCTAACACTTGCTACCTACTTAGAAATCAGAGAGATGGAATCATTACTAATATGTCATTGAAAAAAGATTATTTTGCTATGCTCACTACTAAGTAAAAAAAATTAATTCCACCATCTTGGGACAATGCAATATTGAAAGGGGATTTTAGCCCTTTCATTTCTTTTCCTAAAAAGTTGCATTGATTGTGATTTATTTCAATTTTTATTCATTTTAATTTTCCTTTCACATGCTTCCATACAAGGCCCTTATATTCTAAATTTGAAAATTAATTGGAGTTGTAGCATATTAAATTTTGGGTTACATGAAAAAAGATAAAAACAACTTTTTATATCATCAAAAACTTTCAATGTTAAATATTGACATTTTCTGAGACACTCCATATGCAATTATTTTTGGGTCACTTTGGTACCATGTTTTAGAATATAACATTCTAATAGTCCACATAAACTCATTAAGTTTAATGCTGATGATAGAATTTAAGGGAAAAAATTGCATCTCTGACCAATGAACACTTTCCCACAAGAAACAAACAAAAATACTGATACATGAAAAAATATAAATTATGTGTAATTTTTTTACTATTAAACTATTATTTTCTTCAATTAAGGTCAATCTTCACTGTTAAAGGAAAAGTGAGGAATGATCCTTTGTATTACATCTTTTGAACTTAATGGTGATGAGTTCAACTATTACACTAGGTCTTTGGAATATTTATAAATAATTCCTGCGAAGTATTACAGAATCATTCCATTAGAGTCTGGAGAAGTGACCTCAATAAGCTGTCACAGATACTGGGGAAAAACAAACCACCAACATAAGACATGGTTTGAAGTTACTGTTAGTTACAGGTATTTCACATGAGGGCATGTTTTTAAAATAACTTTATAATCTGAAAATACTATGAATACATATTTCTATGATGATTACTTTTTAACAATTTTAACTTCTAAAAACAAAAAGATTTTATCATGCATACTTAAGTCATTTTTAAAAAAACTAAACTATAAGGAAGAGCTAAATTACATATTTAAGGGATGATTTTAAAGTACCCCGAGATAACATTTTTATTAGTGTAACTTTAACTTTGAACTCAGAAGTATGCTGTTCCTATGGTCCTTTCTTTCCCTTTGGTCCTCACAATGTCAAGTATCTTACTCTGTACAATTATATCGGAGCTGCTGGAAATCTGTGTTCCTGTTTTTCAGTGCACCTCTGTACAGTATTTAATGGTTTCATTGGAAGTTTCTGAGTTAAGAGTTTTAGTGAAGTTTGCATCATCCCCAGGTGTTGGTGAGTGTGGTGCTGGAAAAGGGAGGGGTCGCCAGGACATATTTCACAGCCAGAATGATCTAACAGCTGTTAAGATCTTCAAATCTAAATAGATGTTACAATATTTTTAGTCAATTTACACTAAAAAAAAATGAGATCCTATAGTCCTGTTGTTATAAAGTATCAGGTCAAGAGATATAAATCGTACCAAGCAATTCATCTTGCCTCTCAGAGAGTCATTACATTTCTCCTAGAATATATCTGATTGATACTCTTGGAGGTGAAAGGCTAAAGGGACCATATGGCAACATGTTGCATTCCGTATGTTATCTGCCCATCCGTGCTTAAGCTGCCATTAGCAACATCTGCACCCAACGGAAATCCAGCTGTGCAGTAGACTACTGACGAAATTGTACTGGGGGTGGGAGGGAGAGAAGAGAGAGAACCTTGCTTAAACTCCATTAACTCTAGACATGTAGTCTGCCTACCAGGACGGATGGAAGCTTTCACAATTAGAGAAGACGAGACAAACGCTTTATTAAAGTTTAATTTTGAACTCCCAATTAGCGAAACTGCTTTATAAATCGATTGCAATTTCCTAGAAGGCACAGCAAGTCCCCTGCCTGCCATGTGTGCAGGCACCAAAAAAGCTCCCCCTCCTGCCGACTCAACAGGATTGTTCAGAGCCGGTCTCAGCATCAGGAGTCTCTAAAGTCCTCGCAAGCCCCTCCTCCTGCAGGGGGGCTCAGACAACCTTAACAAGGAATGGGAAGAGGCTGCATCCTCCACTTGTTTGGCGGGAGGGGGGGTGAGGGGGTGGGGGGGAGGACTAAATTGGAGAAGGAGGAGGAGTGGCCGAGGGAGGGAGGGGAAGGGGGAGGACAGCAGGAGGATCTGTATTAATCTGTTCGTCTCTGGAGGAGATTCGATTCAGTCTCAGAAGTTTCTTTCTTCACACTAGTGGCGGGTGGCAGGTTCAAATGGGGGAGAGGGGGAGAGACCGGGAATGGGGACTGCCCTCCCATCTACCATACCCAGATACTCTTCCCTCTGCACCCCCCCACAAGATACATTACCTGCCAGGGCCTCCCACCCGCCCCGATGCTCGGTCGTCTCCTCTTCCTCCGCCGCTGCCGCCGCCGCCGCCGCCGCCGCGCTCCCTCTCGCAGCCGCATCCCCAGATGTGCGCCAGATGTGCGGGTCACGCTCCCTGGTTCGCACAAAGAGGTCGCCCCCATCCGGAAAAGGAAGTAGGCCGGGATTCCCCTTCTCTCTTAGCTGTAAGGGGAGTGAGCGGGGGAAGGAGTGGGGAAAGTGAGGGGAAGGTGGAGGTAATGACTAGAGGGATAGGGTGGGACAGGGGTCTAGGGGAGCAAAGGGAGTTTATTTTAAAACAAACCAGAAGGAAACAAAGGCAAAAAAAAAGGCCAAGGCAGGGGCCAAGGTGGGCGGGGAGGCGTGCGCGGCCGCTCGCTTCCACGCCCGTTACTTTTGGAAGAGGGGAGGGGGGTCTTGGCTAGGGAGGAAGTTAAGGGGAGATGGGGGTGGTGCTCCTCCTACTTTCCCTCCCCGGGTCCCCGCGGGAGGCGGCGGCGGCGGCAGCTGCACACACATACACAGAAGCCCCATTGTAGCCGCCGCCGCCCAACGCGCAGCCCCGCAGCGGCTACAGCCTCGCCAGCCAAGAGCGTCAGCGGCCCGTCAGCGGCGCGAGGCTCCGTGACGTGAGCACGGCGGCGGCGGCAGCTATAAATAGCCGGGGCCCAGCGCGCGCAGTTTTTTTTTTTCCATTGACGCGGAGGGAGTAGAGGAGGAGGAGGAGGAAGAGAAGGAGGAGGAGGGGCGGGGAAGGTGAAAGGAAACAATAAACTTGCTATACCGCTCCACCTCCTCCCTCCCTCCCCCTCCGCCCCAGGGCTTCCCCGCATCCCACCCGCGTAAGAAAGTAACCACCCAGACTCCATTCCATTCTGGGGCCCGGCAAATACTAGGAGCCCGGCCCTCCCTCCCAAGAGCTGGAGGAGCCTGACCGGAAGGGGCCTGGAGGAGGGGAGCGAGGCTTGAGAGCCTCCTGTGCGTTCCCATCCCAACTAGTTTGTTTTAGCAAAGCTTCGGATGTTTTCTGCCGAACTCACAAAAGATTTTTTTTTAGAGGGGAAGGCGGTTGTTTATTAAATTCCAGTTTAAAACATGCACACACTAAAACCCTGGATTTTTTTTTCTATTTAGCGTATTTTAAAGTTTTTGAAGTGTATTGTGGGCACCGTGAGGGTATAAACTCTTAGAAGTTGGAGGGGGTACAAAAAGGACTTTATTTTGGGTCACAGGAAGAGTGGGGGAATCGAGGAATTACTTAATCCATGAGTTCTTTATCGGGGGTCTGTGGATAGATTTTGGGGGCTATGTAATTTTTACTAACTTCTAACTGAAATTTGGCATTTCCTTCGATTAATTAAAAAAAAAGTTATTCTGAGATCCAGTTCATAGGCTTCACCAGTCCGACAAAGGGGTCCATGTCACAAAAAGTTAAAACTCCCAAAGTCCCAGTTTCAGATCAGTATGTTTATTTGATGATTTCGACTGTGTTACTTGATTTAGGGTAGTCTTAAGACAGCAAAGAATCCTTCTGGGAACAGTGAAAACTACATTGCTTGGAGTCATTGGATTTGAGTTCAAAATTCCAGATATGCCATGTACTGCCCATGTAACATTGGACAAGTTACAACTTTTCTGGGCCTCAGTTTCTTCTCCTGTAAAAGGAGTGGCTTGGATTAGTTGACTTTCAAGGGCCCCTGCAGCTTTACATCGGTTTGGTCCTAAAGCTCATACCCCACTCCCCAAGCATAGAGTCTTATCTCATACTCTTTTCAGGAACATTACTGACCTTCTCACCCCTATTGTCCATAACATCCTAATTAAGATTGCCTGACACAGTTCCTTCAGAAATTCTGTCCTACCTTTCTTTTCCACACTGCTCCTTTCTATCACAACACCTAACTTTACAATTATTCCAGCAATTATCCATGTAAGCTAAAGAACATGCCTTCCTTCATGTCCCTCTTTGGTCCCCCTCCAAAAAATAAATAAATAAATTCATAGAATCCTAGAACATCAGAATTGAGGAGACATCAGAAGTTATCTAGTATAATAAATATCTATCTGAACAAGAGTTTACTTTAAAACATCTCTGAGAAGTGTTCATAGAGACATTTTGAAATACTGAACTGATAAGATTTCAAAGATTAGAAAGAAGTGTCTGCAAGACCGATAGAAGAATAAGGAGTGTCAAATGAGTTAAAGGTAGTCATTCCTTGTATTTCAATTCCTTTGAAAAGAATATTGTAGTTTTCATCTATAAAGGCTAATCATATTAATATAAGCTCAAACATCAAAGAGGTGAAAGGGTTTCATTGAATTGAGAGACCTTAAATAGCCTGAGAATTCATTTTGTTTTACAGATTCTCCAGAAAGGAATTAATTAAACCAGATAATTTAGAAATATCCAGTGAGAGAATAACTTTGATCTTAAGGTCTATCCACAGGACCATAGATAAACATTTCCACAAGTAATTAAAAAAAAAGATGTAGTTAGTGATGTTTTTAAAGCTGACCATTTCTTCACAGGGTGAACTGTTGCCAGTATATTGAGTTTTACAGAAAATAAACAGTTGTCTACCCAAAAATGAGTTACTTCTAGTAATTTTCATTAGAGAGAGTCTTCTGATTATCTGTATCTCACAATGATGAGTCAGGGCTAACCCTTGTCTAAATCTGACACTGTCTCCAGAAATATGAAGACATAATACAGAAAGAAATTTGAAACCAAAAATATTTTGCTTTTAACAGTCACTTTTGTGACTTTTTTGTGACTTTATCTGAGCTTATGGTCAAATAGGTAATGAATATGCTTCCTTTTTCAAGTTCATCACAGCCTCTTACTTCCCTAAACCCTGAGCATTTTCTCATTTCAATTCAATATTCAGTTCAACAAACACTTATTAGACACTAACTTTCATGTATGTTCTTTTCCTGGTGGCCGCACTGTTACACGAAACTATTATTTTTTTGTTTTCTTCTGGGTTTTTTTTCTTCTAGTAGTATATTTCCAAGTCTTAGACTTGTTCTGTATCAAGGGGCTAAATTTCCAAGAAAAATGATGTCTTCATTGCATTACTGCCAGATCTAATGGCTTTTACTCAGTCCTCATCCTTCTTGACTTCTCTGCAGCCTCAGTGATCGTTATATAGCAGGCACTTAATAAATGCTTACTCTGTGCCAGGCACTTTACAAATATCTTGTATCTTTTACCTCATACCTCAACCCTACGAGGTAGGTACTAGTATTAGAGTTAAGGAAATTGAGACAAATGGAAGCTAAATGATTTGTCTAGGGTCCCACAGCTAGTAAGGATCTGAGATAAAACCTGAACTCAGGTCTTCCTGAGTATATATCCACTGTTCCATCTACTGTCCCACCTAGCTGTCACAGAAAGGAAAGTGGGTAGATAATTTCATTTCATGGTAAGTTCATTTCTTCTTCTGAATTCCTTTTGAAGTATTTTTCCTATCCTTCCATTATCCTGAAATATTGTTCTTCCATATCTTGCACATCTAAAAAAGGCTTGCCAAAAAAAAAGCTTTCATGTATCTTTGTCACATTTCTCTTTTTTCAAACTGCCAGTTTCATTCTTTCTTATTTTTCATTGTTTCAAAATTAAAATGTTGGGTTTCCATATCCACTGATTAATTTAGATAACCAACCCAAGCTCTACTTAAGAAGTAGGTTTTTTTTATTATTATATTGTTATCATATTATAGTTCCAGATCAGCTTAAATACATACCCTGAAGTAACAGGGTCCTTGAAGCAAATGCAAAGGCAACTATGCTGAAATGGTGAAATAAAAGACTGCGAACATATGAAATCTATGATTTTAAATTCCCTCTGATATTTTAGGGCATCCTACAATTTCTAAATACAGTAAATGTTTTAGAATGTGGACATTTTCCAATACCTCCAGAAGTTTCTGTCTACCTAAGGTTAAATCCTTTGAAAAGACCACAGTACAGTTACTGTATTGAAGGAATTATTAGAGAAACTGCTGTGTACTCTTGACTTATTACTCAGTTAATCCTGATCTATATTTAGATAGTGATGCCAGCCCAGTTGAGGCTTCAAAGGAATGAGCACAAATATTTGCCATCTCCTGTACAGTACTTTTTTGGTGATTGAAAATTCATATTGGAAAATATCATTGAAGTTATAGTATAAACAAAGCTCAGCAACCTTCCAATGTATAAACTTGCCAGGAAAAGATCCTAGGATTCTCAGAATTCTAAAAGGAAGGTTATTTAGGAAAGTACAACCCAGGTTAGGACCTATATAGCTTTCTGCATGAAAAAGCTAAGAGAGTGAGAAGGAAGAGAATAATTATAGCTCATATTTGTACAGCACTTGTTTTCTTCTCAACAAACCTGTGAGATCAGTAAAACTAGTATTATTATCTCCATTTTTGCAAATGAGGAAGTAAAGCTCTCAGAAATTAAATGGTATATCCATGGTCATACCTCAACAAGAAATGCCAGAATGCCTGGCCATCTGACTCTAAGTTCAGTATTCTTTCCACTACACCGTTTTTGTTGTTATTCTGTCATTTTCAGTCTGACAATTCATAACCCCATTTGGGGTTTTCTTGACAAAGAAACTTGAGTAGTTTGCCATTTCCTTCTCCAGCTCATTTTATAGATGAGGAAACTGAGGCAAACAGGGTTAAGTGATTTATCCAGCATCACGCAGCTAGTAAGTGTCTGAGACCAGATTTGAACTCAGGAAGATAACTCTTCCTGACTCCAAGTCCAGCACTCTGATCCACTGGACTGCCTACCCTGTTATACCATGCTACCTCTTAATGTTTACTACAAGGATTGCTTCAATGCTAACTTAATGCTTACTTCAAGGATTCAGTACTTTAAGGATCAATGATTTTAATAGTGTTTGCTCTCCCTCTACCAAAATATATCACAGTACCTCTCTTATAGAATCATAAAATCTCAGCATTAGCAGGGACTTGAGAGGCCTAGTCTAATGCCTTCAGCAAAAATTCCACCTACAAGAAGATTCTCTAATAGATGGTTTCATGAATAGTTGTGATCCAAAACCAGAAGTATTCATCACCTGGTAACTAGCCTCATAGTGATGAGCAGCTCTGAATTTAGCTAGGCTGGTTTTGACATAACTGATACACTGTAATCCATGGGCCTATTACTGAAAACTTTTCAATTTTGGTAAAAACTCCATCAGGAGAGCTTCAAAAACCCAGAGGCACTTCAAAGAACCTCCAATTTAAAGTCAAAAGAAGCTAGGAAACAATTCTATAGCGGTAAAGTGACTTGCCAAAGTCCACACAAATAGTGAGTGGCAGAGCTGAGGGCTGAAGCCAGATCCTCTGAGAACAAACCCAATGTTCTTTCCGATGTACCAAAAAAGGACCAAATGGGTATAAGCTCATAAACCCTACCATTCAGCAAAGTATTGAAGAATCCCAGTCAAAAGAAGGGATCAAGTGCTCAGAGTTTAGTTTTCAGCTTTTCCTTATTTCTTGTTTTCTAGTTTACAAGATAATAGGATTGTCCACATTTTCTTTAGTTGATGGTGAATTCCTTGAATAGCAGGTAGTTGATCAACTTTTCTGCAGATGGTTAACAAGTTGAAAGAAGTGTATATGAAAAATAGAATTTTCTGTTGGTGGCTCCCCCAGAAGAAATAATGACACCTGCATTCATTTGTGAAGCATACTTTTCCTCTTCTAATCAACATGAGAATTATATTTATTAAGTGCTTCTAATGTCCAGATCCTGAGGATACAAGGATTCAAGGAAGGAGGCATCATTTCTGATGGAGGATCAAAAAAGACTTTCTGGAGGAGGTAGCACCTGAGCTGGGCCTTGCAGAAAGGGAAGTATTTCCACAGGCTGATTTGTAAAGGATATCCATGCATGGAGGATGGCAAATGCTGGGAGGTGGCCAAGTGAGATGAGGATGAGGCAGGAGAACAGCAAGTAATCCAGTTTGATTG